ATTGCGCCAATTTTGCTACTCGAGGACTATTACTAATAGTCCTCTACTAGTGTAGCCAATTAAAATGCAGAATTTGCATTAGTCCACTAGTTGGGTGATACTAATGAGTAATAACACCTTGTGATATTTGTTGACATCTTATCTGATACCCCGTGATACCTTGTGACATCTTAGTGATGTTTTTTTTAGCTCATCGTTGTGTCGCAAAAAAAAAACTGCGATGTCTTGTGACAGTCACAACTTATGGAACCCAATCCCCTAGTATCAAGTGGACAAACCTCTGGCTCCCAATAACGGCGTCTTTCTTGCAGCACTGGGTATTTCTTTAGCAGCGTCTCCATCTTTTCCAGACATCATTACTCAGAATATTGCTGAAGGAAGGTTATCTTGTTCTATTTGTTCTCCAACCTCTTACGACGCTGAGGCGAAGTCTTGGCGATTTTGCGGAAGATCATCGTGAGCCAGTAGCCATTGTTGGTCCCATATGAGTCGAGAGGTCGCGGTCGCAACAAGTAAGGACAGCGGTCACATCTTTGGCCAGTTTAGCTTCATTTAAATTGTCATTTAAATTCTCTTTCCGCGTCTAGTGTAGTTACGGTTGATAAGAAATCACGTGACGCGAGCAAACCGGGATACCCGAGCCAACCTCGTTCCCAGGTCTAACGAGGTTGCACCCGAGCCAGTTTCCTGGTCAAAGGAATGACCTCGGGCAAGGCAAGCCTTGTTGTCCCGGTGTGCTCTGCGACCCGTGTACTCCGCCATTACAACTGATCAAAACACCAAACGGTCTAAAGTTCACGGTGTATAGATCAGTTTTTCTTGCACTTGTGGTGAAAGTACGACCTCGACGAGCTGAAAATTCGACGCTGAAGGAGGTGTTCTCCTTGGGAGATGTCAACGGAACCGGGTGCTACAAGAAGACGTGCAAAAGAAGGCTTTGCAGTGAATGGATCAAGTGAAGATTTTTTAGATGGAATGAAGGTGCAGTGCTCTATGGCTTAGTCACGAGATTGTAACGTTTTGTTTCAGAATTGTCGTTGCAGTAGCATCAGTTCTCTTTCATATATGCAAGACAGCAAGATCTTCCTTGGCAAGACTGCTTTTGAAGCATTGTCTAAAATAGCCGATATGCAATGCATGTGTAACGCTTTCGGAACTTTGTTTTCTCGTCTTTTTTTTTTCAGCATGAAATTAAACTTTTAAAAGCTGTCATGCAAAATTGGCAGCGACGAACGATTTCTATAGTTTTTTTTTCCACAAGTGCTTGAGGTTTGATTATCTTTATCTCGAAAAACTGTTATTTAGCGATCACTCGCTGCGCTTGTGGTTTGCCCGTACCCACAGAAATGCCAAAATTAATGCTGTCGAAAAAATATAAGCTTATAAGATCTCCATTGTTTGAAAATTAATGTACAAGCATAATGGCTTTTATGGGATTAATCTTATCCGTTGGCGATTCTGAAATTATGCATCGTCACTTTGTTCAATTATTTGCAATCTGCGAGACGAAGCGGTGATTATGATGCTGAAATCGAAATACGTACAGTGTACACGCATTAGGAACTCTGAAGGCTATGCTACGTATGTGAGACTGATTCTTTCGGCAGGAGAATGTTGTAAGAAGTGCTGTAAGATTACTTTGATC